TTTGCCGCCTGCCGCCGGTGCTGCTTTGCTCTTGGGCCGCAGGCCGACAGAGCCTCTGCACGCCTTCTTCCCCCCGCGATCCCCATTTCTGGGTCTCGGCGCCGGTTGTTGATGAGGTGGGGAAAGCGCTGTCAGACCCCGAAGGGTCCTAAACCCCTTTTTTAAAAAGAAATACCTCTGCGCATGAAGGTGCAGACGACTTTCCCAAAGGTTTTTGGTTGGTTTTTGGTTTTTGTTTTTTTTTTGCAAGGGGTACCTGGTTTGCGTGGAATTCGCTGGCGGCCGGGCTTGGTTTCCCAGGTGTTAAATCCCGAGGGCAGGGGGCCCCGGCGGTGCGGGAGCAGGTAACGAAGCCGAGTTTCACTCTATTAAAAGCAGCCGCAGGCTGGGCTGAAACCCGCCAGCGTTCTAATAAAGCATTAAAAATTCATGGTATGGCAAAAACCCAAGAGTGGTATTTGTTTTGCTAAAGCAAATCTTACACATTCAGTAAAATTAAGATCATCAGCAAAAAAATAAGACAGCAAACGTCTATTTTTTTCACAAGTAGCTTCTTGATGGCAGAACTTGCTTCAGCGACTGCCAGTTCCCCCCCTTCCCATTTTGGCAGCTCCATCTCCTGCATCCCTCGTGCTTCTTGCCCCGGTTCCCAGCCTGACGTCGCACCCCGTCCCGCGTAGCTGCGCTCAAAGCGAAACGGGGGCAGCTGGAAATGACCCTTCATTTTGCTGGACTTTTCCTTCCGGCAAACCGTACCTTCCATCTGACCTGTTACCAGGCTACACCGCAGGGTCTAGGTGTAGGAGCGAGCGTCTGGGAAGCAGGGTTTTTTTAGCTGATAGAAGTTGCTGGTGCGAATAGTCACTAAAAATAAAAAATCAGAGGGAGGGAACTGGTGACCAAACCAGCCCAGAGCTGGAACTGGAGGGCAGAGCCGCAGAGAAATTATAAATCTGTGAGATAACCTCCGTGATGTCTCATTCTCTCCTTTGTGCTCCTCGGTAAGCAAACAGGCTCGTGCCAAGGACGCACCTTGCGCTGTGCAAATTTAGGGAAATTGAGGATGATGTGATACATCTTTTTGGCTCCTTGTCACTGCAGCCTCAGCGAAACGATTTCCCGCCCTCCCGGTGCTGCTTTTGCACAGCTGACCTGTGGCACCACGTAAGCGCCTGATGTGCTCGAGCCCTGGCAGCTACAGCCGCCTGTAGAAAAAGAGCAAAAACGCATTAATTTTTCTCTCGCCCGCCCGCTCCTCGGGGAAGCCCCGCTGCTGTGTTTGCTGTTCTGGCTCAGACACGTCATTTAGCGAGGCCAGACACTGCGCTTTGCTGGCGTGGGCGTCTGCCACGACCTTGGGCGGGTGGACTTGTTATCTGTGACTTCCTCCTCTGCTTCATCAGTGCCAATAACGTCCCTTCTTTAGCTCCCGCTCCCACGTATTTTCCTTGCTTTGCAGCAAAATCCCATCCCTATCGCTGACGGGGAATTTGTATTTTGGTGTAAATCTCATAATTTTGTACGGCCGGGTCCAGCTGCTGCGGGGGGAGATGTGCGGGGGGCAGAGGGAGCAGAAGGACATTGGCATTCCCCACCCCGGGAGGGCAAACCCCACCCGACGGGTGTTACAAAAATTCACGGCTGGCCGGAGCCGACCAAGCAGAGAGGCTGGGACACAAACTACAAGAGCAAATATTTATCCATGCTGGGACATGAGGTGTCCCAGCCAAACTGAGGCACCCCAAATGTGGTTTTACAGGGGGTTCTTAGACCCTTCAAGCATTCAGGTACAATACGATTTGACTAATCACTAACACACACCCCCCCCAGTTATTAATCATAGCAAAACTTTGCAAAGCAACTCTAGTTTTGCAGCGTTCTTGCTGCTCGTCTATTGACCCAGGTGTCCCTGGAGTCGGTCGTGCTGGAGTTACTCATCGATGACGCCAGACGATGCTGGGAGGGTTTCAGAGCTGTGTCGGAGGGGCTGGGATGCCGGCGTTTTCTTGGTTGTCCCGGGGTATCTTTTAGCCTTCACGGACAGCTCTAAGCTCCCAAGAAGCAAAGTCCGCCTCTCCAGGGCTGGGCTGTCCTTTAGTTTTACGTAAGCATGAACAATACCAAAGCCTCCAGTAAAATTCTACTACCTCATTACATTGCAGTGTGTAATGTGAACTAATATGTATTAACAAAGTTAACGCACTTTCGTACTATAAAGACTGGCTGAGATAATAGTTAGGGAAGGGAATTTTCGCAACCCGTGAGAGCTGTGGAATAGCCCCATCAGATCAGCTCTCTTTTCATACCCTGGGTCGCTTTTTAAATCAGTCATTTTGAGGATTCGTTGAATGTCACTTTATGCCGCCAAGGGCATCTCCTGACCTCAGGTGGGTGGCTTGTGGGGTAACGTGCTGTGTGCTGAAAGCACGAGGAGAAAATTAGCTGGCAGCCGGGCTAAGAAGAAGAAGAAGAAGAAGAAGAAGAAGAAGAAGAAGAAGAAGAAGAAGAAGAAAACAAGAAGAAGAAGAAAACAGGAAGATTCTGACCCATCAGCAAAACCCGATTTATGACCAAATTTGCTAAGACTGTATCCAAGACATATTCCTCTGTTGCCTGATGGACACAGTGCATGGCGGAGACCCTCCGTAAGCGGCTTGGTGAGGGTGAGCGTGGTGTTAGGAGCTCTGCTTGCGCAGTTACAGAGGTTAAACTTCATTCCCTGGTGTTTCTGTGTTCTTACACCAGATGCTCTCTGGCTCCCGTGACAGCAGCTTGCTTCTTCCACTGGATTTTAACTCGACACAATCATGCTGATAGTGACTATTTCACTTTTCTTGGAGAATATTAGATCATAAGCATCACTCAGCAATTTCAGAGCCTGCTGCAGTCTCACGTTTTATGTGTTCAAGGACAGGAAGGTACCAGCACTCTTCTTATTCCTCCTCCAACCACCCTGCAAGTGCTGCTGCCAGAGCACCTCTGGGAGGAGAGGAGATGGTTTGCGGGAAGGGAAGGGAACTGCAGGTAGGGTGGCATCAGGAGAGCTGGACTAAGGGCCAAATCCATTAAAGGATGTAGATACTGCCTTGGCACTTTCTCTTTTTCTTTTTCTTTCTCTTTTTCTTTTTCTTTCTCTTTTTCTTTTTCTCTTTCTCTTTTTCTTTTTTTCTCTTTTTCTTTTTCTTTTTCTTTTTCTTTTTCTTTTTCTTTTTCTTTTTCTTTTTCTTTTTCTTTTTCTTTTTCTTTTTCTTTTTCTTTTTCTTTTTCTTTTTCTTTTTCTTTTTCTTTTTCTTTTTCTTTTTCTTTTTCTTTTTCTTTTTCTTTTTCTTTTTCTTTTTCTTTTTCTTTTTCTTTTTCTTTTTCTTTTT